GGTGATGATGATGATGATGATGATGATGATGATGATGATGATGATGAGGAGGAGGAGGAGGAGGAGGAGGAGGGGGAGGAGGAGGAGGAGGAAGGAGGAGAGTTGGAGGAGGTATTGAGGAGGGAGGAGGAGGTAGGAGGAGGAGGAAGGAGGAAGGGGGGGGGGGGGGGGGGGGGGGGGGAGGAGGGAGGAGGAGGAAGAGGCGGGAGCAGAGGGAATAGGAGAGGGAGGATCGACGACGGCGGCGAGGACGACGACGACGACGACCGGAGTTGATATCAAAATCTTTCCGGTGGGTCGTTCCGGCAGCGTTTTGGAGGCTTCTTGGGGCCAGCGTGGGGCCCTCTTGGGGGGTACTTTGCAGGCTGAGACCAAGAGACGCTCTGCCACCGCCGTCGCCACCACCACCACCACACCACACACGCACCACCCGCTGCCGCAAGTTCTGACACCGCCTCAGCCAACCACGCGCCGACCACCACCGAACCGCAAGGCGCCAACGACCAACCCACCACACGACCACACAACAGCACACCAACACATCGCACCAACACGCCCCACCACCACCACCACCACCACCACCAACACCACACAACACACACACCACCAACAACCACCACCACCACACACCACCACACCACCAGCCACCACCACCACAACCACCAACCAACCACCGACCACCACCGCCACCACCACCACCATAACCCACCACACTCACACCACCACCCACCACCCCACCACCAACCACCACTCACCACTACCACATTTAAAACACCGAGCACAACCACCCACACCACCACCACCACCGCCACCACCATCACCACCCAAAAGCCGAAGGTAATTCCCAATGTAAAAAAGCCGACACGTAATTCACAAAGCTGGATTTGATTTTTCTTGAGCCCTTTGAGGAGGCAGAAGGGCGGTGGGTCACCCGCCCCGCGCGTGCGCGGCGGCGCAGTTTTGCATTGTTCACAATACAAAAGCCGACATGTAATTCCCAAAACTGAACTTGAATTTTTTTGAGCCCTTTACGGAGGCCGAAGGACGGTGGGTCACCCGCCGCGCGCGCGCGGCGGCGCAGTTCTGCATTGTTCACAATACAAAAGCCGACATGTAATTCCCCAAACTGGATTTGCTGTTTTCTCGAGCCCTTTAAGGAGGCCGAAGGGCGGTGGGTCACCCGCCGCGCGCGCGCGCGGCGGCGCAGTTCTGCATTGTTCACAATGCAAAAGCTGACATGTAATTCCCAAAACTGGATTTGGGTTTTTCTGGAGCCCTTTAAGGAGGCCGAAGGACGGTGGGTCACCCGCCGCGCGCGCGCGGCGGCGCAGGCCGACATGTAATTCCCAAAACTGGATTTGCATTTTTCTGGAGTTCTTTAAGGGGGCCGAAGGGCGGTGGGTCACCCGCCGCGCGCGCGCGTGGCGCAGTTCTGCATTGCTCACAATCCCAAAGCCGACATGTAGTTCCCCAAACTAGATTTGCATGTTTCTGGAGCCCTTTAAGGAGGCCGAAGGACGGTGGGTCACCCGCCGCGCGCGCGCGGCGGCGCAGTTCTGCATTGCTCACAATCCAAAAGCCGACATGTAGTTCCCCAAACTAGATTTGATTTTTTCTGGAGCCCTTTAAGGAGGCCGAAAGGGCGGTGGGTCACCCGCCGCGCGCGCGCGATGCGGCGCAGTTTTGCATTGTTCACAATACAAAAGCCGACATGTGATTCCCAAAACTGGATTTGAGTTTTTTTCTGGAGCCCTTTAAGGAGGCCGAAAGAAGGTTGGTAACCTGCCGCGCGCCACGGACGCGGGTTGCGCATTCTGCATTGTTCCACAATACAAAAGAAGGCCGACATGTAATTTCCCAAAAACCTGAATTGAATTTTTCCTGGAGCCCTTTTAGAGAGAAAAGGAAGAGCCCGCGCACCTTCGGGGTCCACCACCCGCCGCGCGCGCGCGGCGGCGCAGTTCTGCATTGTTCACAAAACAAAAGCCGACATGTAATTCACAAAACTGAATTTGAATTTTTCTGGTGCCCTTTAAGGAGGCCGAAGGACGCTGGGTCACCCGCCGCGCGCGCGCGCGGCGGCGCAGTTCTGCATTGTTCACACTACAAAAGCCGACATGTAGTTCCCCAGATTGGATTTGGGTTTTTCTGGAGCCCAAGGGCGGTGGGTCACCCGCCGCGCGCGCGCGATGCGGCGCAGTTCTGCATTGTTCACAATACAAAAGCCAACATGTAATTTCCAAAACTGGATTTGAATTTTTCTGGAGCCCTTTAAGGAGGCCGAAGGACGGTGGGTCACCCGCCGCGCGCGCGCGCGGCGGCGCAGTTCTGCAGTGTCCACAATACAAAAGCCGACATGTAATTCACAAAACTGGACGGTGGGTCACCCGCCGCGCGCGCGCGGCGGCGCAGTTCTGCATTGTTCACACTACAGAAGCCGACATGTCATCACCAAAAACTGGATTTGATTTTTTTCTGGAGCCCTTTAAGGGGGCCGAAGGGCGGTGGGTCTCCCGCCGCGCGCGCGCGGCGGCGCAGTTCTGCATTGTTCACAATACAAAAGCCGACACGTAATCCCCAACATTGAAGCCTTGGGTGGAGCTCCCTGGGGGGGGGGGGGGGGGGGGGGGGGGGGGGGGGGGGGGGGGGGGGGGGGGGGGGGGGGGGGGGGGCTAACACCAAGCGCGCGAGGGGTGTGCCGACGTTGGCGTGGTCAGCTATGCGAACGCGGCCATTGGGACCTGGGGTTGAGCCCCCCATGGGGCCACGAAGCGCGTGAGGGGTGTGCCGAAGTGGGCGTGGTCAGCTATGCGAACGCGGCCACTAGGACCTTCGTTGGAGCTCCATGTGCGGCCGCGAAACGCGTGAGGGGTGTGCCGACATGGGCGTGGTCAGTAATGCGCCTGCGGCCACTGGAGCCTTCGGTGGAGTTCCCTATGGGGCCACGAAGCGCGTGAGGGGTGTGCCGAAATTGGCGTGGTCAGTAATGCGCCCGCGCCCACTGGGGCCGTCGGTGGAGCTCCTTATGGGGCCGCAGAACGCGTGAGGGGTGTGCCCGGATTGGCGTGGTCAGTAATCCGCCCGCGCCCGTTGGGGCCGTCGGTGGAGCTCCCCATGGGGCCACGAAGCGCATGAGGGGTGTGCCGAAATTGGCGTGGTCAGTAATGCGCCCGCGCCCACTGGGGCCTTGGGTGGAGCTCCCTATGGAATCGCGAAACGCGTGAGGGGCGTGCCGAAGTGTGCGTGGTCAGTAATACGCCCGCGCCCACTGAGGCAGCCAGTGGAGCTCCCTTTGGGGCCACGAAGCGCATGGGGGTGTGCCGAAATGGGCGTGGTCAGTAATACGCCCGCAGTCACTGGGCCCATGGGTGAAGCTCCTTTTGGGGGCATCAGACCTGTGAGGGGTGTGCCGAAATGGGCGTGGTCAGTAATGCGCCCGCGTCCACTGGGGCCGTCGGTGGAGCTCCTTATGGGGCCGCGAAGCGCGTGAGGGGTGTGCCGAAATGGGCGTGGTCAGTAATGCGCCCGCGCCCACTGGGGCCATCGGGGGAGCTCCCCATGGGGCCACGAAACGCGTGAGGGGTGTGCCGAAATGGGCGTGGTCAGTAATACGCACGCGCCACTAGAGGATTCGGTGGAGCCCCCATAGGGGGGCACGAAACGCGTGAGGGGTGTGCCGAAATGGGCGTGGTCAGTAATGCGCCCGCGCTCACTGGGGCCTTGGGTGGAGCTCCTTCTTATGGGGCCACGAAACGCGTGAGGGGTGTGCCGAAATTGGCGTGGTCAGTAATGCGCCCGCGCCCACTGGGGCCTTGGGTGGAGCTCCTTATGGGGCCACGACACGCGTGAAGGGATTGCCGAAATTTGCGAGGTCAGTAATGCGCCCGCGCCCGCTGGGGCCGTCGGTGGAGCTCCTTATGGGGCCACGAAGCGCGTGAGGGGTGTGCCGAAATGGGGCGTGGCCAGTAATGCGCCCGCGCCCACTGGGGCCGTCGGTGGAGCTCCCCATGGGGCCACGAAGCGCGTGAGGGGTGTGCCGACATGGGCGTGGTCAGTAATGCGCCTGCGGCCACTAGAGGATTCGGTGGAGCCCCCATATGGGGCCACGAAACGCGTGAGGGGTGTGCCGAAATGGGCGTGGTCAGTAATTCGCACGCGTCTCACTGGGCCTTGTGTGGAGTCTTATTGGCCACGAACGCGCGTGAGGGGGCGTCCGCGGGAGTGTGCAGATAAGCGCCCGGTCACTGGCCCTGGGGGAGCTCCTATGGGGCCGCGAGGGGACGTTGGTGAGTTGGTGTGCCGAAAGGCCCCGTGGCCAGTAATGCGCCCCGCGCCCAATGGGGCCAGTCGGTGGAGCCCTTATGGGGCGCAGAACGCGTGAGGCGTGTGCCCGAATGGCGTTGGTCAGTAAATCCGCCGCGCCCGTTGGGGCGTCGTTGGAGCTCACCCAGGGGCCCCAGAAGCGCCATTGAGGGGTGGCCGAAATGGGCGTTGGTCAAGTTAAATGCGCCCGCGAGCACTAGCAGGATTCGGTGGAGCCCCCATACGGGGCCACGAAACGCGCGAGGGGTGTGCTCACATGGGCGTGGTCCGTAATGCGCCCGCGCCCGCTGGGGCAGCCAGTGGGGCTCCCTTTGGGGCCACGAAGGCATGAGGGTGTGCCGAAATGGGCGTGGTCAGTCATGCGCGCGCGCCCACTGGGGCTCTTGGGTGGAGCTCCTCATGGGGCCACCAGACATGTGAGGGGTGTGCCGAAATGGGCGTGGTCAGTAAAGCGCCCGCGCTCACTGGGGCCGTCGGTGGAGCTCCTTATGGGGCCACGAAGCGCGTGAGGGGTGTGCCGAAATGTGCGTGGTCGGTCAGTGATGCGCGTTGGACACTGCGCTGTTCGACGCTGCGCTGTTCGACGCTGCGCTGTTCGACACTGCGCTGTTCGACGCTGCGCTGTTCGACGCTGCGCTGTTGACACTGCGCTGTTCGACGCTGCGCTGTTGACACAGCGCTGTTCGACGCTGCGCTGTTGGGCACTGCGCTGCTCGACGCTGCGCTGTTCGACATTGCGCTGTTCGACGCTGCGCTCTTCGACGCTGCGCTGTTCGACGCTGCGCTGTTCGACACTGCGCTGTTCGACACTGCGCTCTTCGACACTGCGCTGTTCGACACTGCGCTGTTCGACACTGCGCTGTTCGACGCTGTCACCATCGCCTTGTAGACTATCGTCTTATTGCCCATAGGTCGGCGCAGTCCTGGTGCAGGCGTCCCTGAGGGCTGCGAAAGGGCGAGGGCGAAAAACACTGAGGGGCGATGCTCGGGCAAAATTCAAAAAATTGCCTGAGTATCGCCCTGCAGCGTTTTCGCGATATGCCTTTAGCTCTGTAACCCCTTAGCCTTATAGCACCATCGCCTTGTAGACTATTGCTTTATTGTCCCGTGGGTCGGCGCAGTCCTGGTGCCAGCATCCCTCAGGCTGCGAAAGGGTGAGGGCGAAAAACACTGAGGGGCGATGCTCAGGCAAATTTCAAACATTTGCCTGAGTATCGCCCTGCAGCGTTTTCGCGATATGCCTTTCGCCCTGTAACCCCTTAGCCTTATAACACCATCGCCTTGTAGACTATTGCTTTATTGTCCCGTGGGTCGGCGTAGTCCTGGTGCAGGCGTCCCTTAGGCCTGCAAAGGGGTGAGGGCGAAAAACACTGAGGGGCGATGCTCAGGCAAATTTCAAAAATTTGCCTGAGTATCGCCCTGCAGCGTTTTCGCGACATGCCTTTAGCCCTGTAACCCCTTAGCCTTATAGCACCATCGCCTATTGCCTTATTGTCCTAGAGGTCGGCGCAGTCCTGGTGCCAGCATCCCTCAGGGCTGGCAAAGGGTGAGGGCGAAAAACACTGAGAGGCGATGCTCAGGCAAATTTCAAAAATTTGCCTGAGTATCGCCCTGCAGCGTTTTCGCGATATGCCTTTAGCCCTGTAACCTCTTAGCCTTATAGCACCATCGCTATGTAGACTATTGCTTTATTGTCCCGTAGGTCGGCGCAGTCCTGGTGCCGGCGTACCTGAGGGCTGCAAAAGGGTGAGGGCGTCAAACACTGAGGGGCGATGCTCGGGCAAATTTCAAAAATTTGCCTGAGTATCGCCCTGCAGCGTTTTCGCGATATGCCTTTAGCCCTGTAACCCCTTAGCCTGATAGCACCATGGCCTTGTAGACAATTTGCAGTAGTTCTAGAGCCCAATGCCCCTTAGCCTGATAGCACAGCGCAGTGTCGAACAGCACAGCGCAGTGTCAACAGCGCAGTGTCGAACAGCACAGCGCAGTGTCCAACAGCGCAGTGTCGAACACAGCGCAGTGTCAACAGCGCAGTGTCGAACAGCACAGCGCAGTGTCAACAGCGCAGTGTCGAACAGCACAGCGCAGTGTCCAACGGCGCAGTCTCGAACAGCACAGCGCAGTGTCAACAGCGCAGTGTCGAACAGCGCAGCGCAGTGTCAACAGCGCAGTGTCGAACAGCACAGCGCAGTGTCCAACGGCGCAAGTGTCGAACAGCACAGCGAGTGTCAACGGCGCAGTGTCGAACAGCACAGCGCAGTGTCAACAGCGCAGTGTCGAACAGCACATCGCAGTGTCAACAGCTCAACAGCGCAGCGTCGAACAGCACAGCGCAGTGTCCAACAGACCAGTGTCGAACAGCACAGCGCAGCGTCAACAGCGCAGTGTCGAACAGCACAGCGCAGTGTCAACAGCGCAGCGTCGAACAGCACAGCGCAGTGTCCAACAGCACAGTGTCGAACAGCACAGCGCAGCGTCAACAGCGCAGCGTCGAACAGCACAGCGCAGTGTCAACAGCGCAGTGTCGAACAGCACAGCGCAGTGTCCAACAGCGCAGTGTCGAACAGCACAGCGCAGTGTCAACGGCGCAGTGTCGAACAGCACGGCGCAGCGCAACAACGTGAACAGCACAGCGCAGTGTCAACAGCGCAGTGTCGAGACAGCACAGCGCAGTGTCAACAGCGCAGTGTCGAACAGCACAGCGCAGTGTCAACAGCGCAGTGTCGAACAGCACAGCGCAGTGTCAACAGCGCAGTGCAGTGTCAACAGCGCAGTGTCGAACAGCACAGCGCAGTGTCAACAGCGCAGCGCAGTGTCAACAGCGCAGTGTCAACAGCGCAGTGTCAATTCACTCATTTAACGCAGTGTCAACAGCGCAGTGTCAATTCACCGTTAAGAGCTCCCTTTGACAGCTGCCTTGGGATCGAGGGCCCAGCGTGCTTCACAACGGATCGTGGCCTTCGGGGCACGGGCCCGTCGCTGCGTTGAAGGCGCGCGCCGTTCGTGCAGGGGCCGCGGCCTTGGGGGCGTAGGCCCCGTGCAATTTACGATGGGTCGTGGCCTTGCCACTGTCCGGGCCCCGCGTGGTTTGCGAGAGCCCATGGTCCTTGGCCTTGGGATCGCGGGCCTCCTGCGATTTACAGTGGGCGCCGCCTGGGGGCTGCGGGCACAGCCCCGTTCATGGTAGCTTGCGGCCTTGGTGGCGCGGATCCCATGTAATTCAAGAGGGCCCGTGGCCGCGGGGGCGCGGTCCCTTCGCAATTTGCGGCAGGTCATGGCACAGGGGGCGCGGGCCCGCATCATTATTTTACGTGTCGTTATTATTATTATTATTATTACTACTACTACTACTATTATTATTATTATTATTTTATTATTATTTTTTAAATTATTATTATCATTATTATTAGTAGTAGTCTAATTATTATTATTAGTATCATCATTGTTATCTCATTATTATCATTATCGATATTATTTTCGGGGGCATAATCACCCGCCCGCGACGCCACCACCGCGGCAACGCTCAAGCCAATGCAGCCCGGCTGCTCACGGCCTGGGGGTCCCACAGGTGGGCTTGCGGCTATGGGCGTTCGTGTTTTGGCTGCGTGCTTCCAGCCGGCCCGCGTCGGCAGCCGCGGGCGGCGGGCAGGCGTTCCTGCAGGGCGGAGGGGTCAGGGCGGAGGGAATGGTGGGGCCCAGGGGGGAGGGGGGCGAGGAATATGAATTCTTGACGCTTCGCGTATCCCCACCAGCCCATCCAGAAACGACGCCCAGGCGAGTTGATGCGACCGGCGCAACGTGGGAGCAAAGAGGGGGACAGCCGCACAAAGCGAAGGAGGGATGATGAGGAGAAGGAGGAGGCTGGATGGATGGATGGATGGATGAGGGAGTGGTGGGGGGGGGGGGGGGAGGATGATGAACATGAGAAGGAGGAGGTCGGAGGAGGAGGAGGAGGAGGAGGAGGAGGAGGAGGAGAAGGACGACGACGACGACGACGAGAGGAGGAGGAGGATGAGGAGGAGGAGGAGGGAGAAGGAGGAGGAGGAGTAGGAGGAGAAGGAGGAGGAGAAAAAGGAGCAGGAGGACGATGAGGAGGAAAAGGGCGAGCAGAATAGCCAGAAACATCTTGAATGCCTCTCAGAGTCTCCTCGGATGTCTCTTGGGAGCCGTTTGGAAGCCTCTTGGAGCGTCTTGAGGGTCTCTTGGCGGTCCAGGGAGGCTCTTGGGCGTCTTGGGTGCGTCGGGGGGGCCTCTTGGGGCCGCTTGGGGTTCTCTTGGGGAGCTCTTGGGGTCTTCTTGGGGGCCTCTTGGGGGCCCCTTGGGGGCCTCCTGGGGCCATCTTGGGGGCCTCTTGGGGCCTGGGCGCCTCTTGGGGCAATCTTGGAGGAGATCGATCAAAGAAGGGGGGGTCCTTAATTCGCGCTCCTCTTCGGGAGCACCGGAAATCGTGTCTTGGACCTCTCTTGGGGCGCTATTGGAGCGCTCTTGGGCGCTCTTGGGGCCACCTTGTGGCTGTTTTGGGTATCTCTCTTGGGGCCTTCTGGGGCCATCCTGGAGCCATCTTGAGGCCTCGGAAGGCCATCGGAATCAAAACAACACTGGTACTCTTTAGGTGTTTGATGGGTTTGGGCCTCTTCGGGGCCTCCTTGGAGAGCTCTCGGGCCACTTGGAGCCGTCTTGGAGCGTCCTTGAAGCCCCTTGGAGCATCTTGGGAGCCATCTTGAGGCATCTGGGGCTACCTTGAATCATCTCGGAGGTCATCTTAGGCTCTCCGAAGCCCTCTTGTAGCCGTCTTGGGCGAAACAGTACCCTCTGACACCTCGGCGCCCCCCGTCCAAGTCCAGGGGATTGGGTAGGGGGAGGGGCAAACCGCTCCCCGAGGGGGAAGAAATAAGGGGGTTGGAAGAGGAAACGCCCTAAACCACCTACGCCCTAAAGGGCAGGTGGGACTTTGAAGGTCGGCAGCTCATCTAGTTACTAGTTTCGGTCGTGCTCACGCCGCGAGCTTTCCATGTGCAGCGCGGGGCCAGCCCCTTTCAGCAGGCGCCCGGGCCTGGTGCTGCAAAACTGAAGTGTGCTCTTGCTCGGCCCCCCTTGCCTGCCCTGACTCGGCAGATTGGCCATGACAGCTCGTTGGACCTCGCGCCCACAAAACGCTCCGCAACTTGCCCTGGAGGCGCCGTTGCCCGTTGCCGCCTCCCCCCCCCGGCCCCTCCCTCCTGGTCGGGCGGGCGAGAAGGCTTTCGCTCCAGGGGTCTTCGTGGGAAAAGCGGAGCCCTTCTCCTTCTCTCCGATTTTATTATGGGGGGACCCTTGCGCAAGAGGAGGGAAAGGGGGAGGGGGAGGTAGAGGAGGGGATGCAGGGAAGAAGAGGGATGCTACTACATTCAGGAGGGTGCACCTCGGGCATTTGTTGCGTCTTTTTCAGAGAGAATGGGGAACGGGATGAGGGGGAGGAAGGGGGGGAGGAGGACGAGGACGAGGACGAGGAGGAGGAAGTGCGAACATGTAGCCCCCCCCCACGCCTGCAGAGGTATATGTAGTAGGGCGGCTTGCCACATTTCGGCCAGTTTTTTTTGTTTGCCAATCCTTCTCAAAGGTTTGCAGGAGGAGGAGGAGGAGGAGGAGGAGGAGGAGGAGGAGGGGAGGAGGAGGAGGAGGAGAGGAGGAGGAGGAGAAGGAGGAGGAGGAGGAGGGAGGAGGGAGGAGGGAGGGAGGGAGGAGGGAGGAGGAGAGGAAGAGGAAAAGGACAAAAAGGCGGATGAGGAGGAGGAGAGGAGGAGGCGGATGAGGAGGAGGAGAGGAGGAGGAGGAGGAGGAGGAGGAGGAGGAGGAGGAGGAGGAATGAGGGTGAGGGCGAAGGGGGCACTC